CAGCACCTGCTCTCCACTCCAGGCCCGGGTCCAAGAAGGCAGGCCCGGCGGCCGCGCCGGCTAATAAAGCGCCAGCGCCTGCTCACGCAGCACCACCCGCTTCTTCTTCATACGCCGGTTCTGAAACCAGATTTTTACTTGCTGGTCGCTGAGGTTCAGCCTGTTGGACAATTCTTTGCGCTTCTGCCGGTTGATGAATTCGTTGATGAGGAATTCGTTCTCCAGCTCCGCAATCTGCTGCTTCGTGTAGGGTTTCCGCTTCTTGCGGGCCCTCCCCGGGGCCGCCCCCCACGGCAGGCCTGCAACAGAGCCCCGACCTGCGTCAGCCAGGCTGGCTACAGTCACTGCCCAGCCCCAGCGGGTGCCCTCCCCCCGGAACGCGCCCCTTCATGCCACCTCCCATCCCGGCCCAAACCGGCCCGGAGGGCATGGGCACCGTTTACCGTCGGGCAGTGAAGGTCGCAGGCAAGAGGCGACGCCCGCCGCCTGCACTGTCATGTTCAAGTTGAACTGGCCCTTGGCGTCATCTTTGAAGCCTGTGGGGCAGGGGGCCCCCTGGAGCAAGGTCGAAGAGCCCGGCGCGGTGCGGCCCACGCCAGCGTAGTCGTACTTGGTCGCTTTGAGCGCAGCCGCCGCAGGGGCCAGGCTAGACTCGGGGACGAAGGGCGGCCTCGTACGGACACGCTCCTCGGGCCCGGAGGCCGCTTCGGGCGTAGAGAACTTGACCTGTTCTTCGGCTCGGTCCTTGGCGCCCGGGGGTTGCAGACCGAGAGGCCCGGAGCCGGCCAGGTAGGGCTGCGAGAAGCTACCAAAGGCAGTGGCGCTGGCAGGCTGCGCTGGGGCGCACGAGGCGGGGGTGGAGGCCCAGGGCAGCGCCCCGCGAGGGTAGGAGATGGGGGGAAGCGCGGCCAGGGGGCCGCCATTCGGCCGCAGGTTGGAAAAGTAGAAGGAGTCGGGCGACTGCAGATTGAGAAGCGAGCCCACATAGCCCGCTCTGTAGAGACTGCGCTCACACATCGCCAACAAAGGGCTTCGGCTGCGCTCGCAACAGTATTTAGTTACAACCGGGAATAGGAGGACAGGCTCAGACGATTGGACGAAACTTTGCCTGCAGGTTCTTCAAAGTCGGTCATTTCAGCACCGCCTACATCCCCCGACCCGTTTCCCCCCCTTCGGGGTATTATGATAACACCCGTAAGGCTGGATGGAGAAGGACGAGATTGCGGCAGAGCTGAAGCAGGTTGAGCGAAGCGAAGCCACTACAAGTTTCCGAGCTGGCTTCAGGAGCTGGCGGCAGCGGGCTGAAGGTGCCTGTGCCCAGATGTCCCTTGGGACTCTTCGTGGTCTTGATTGGCTTTGCCATTCCATTTTCCGCTGGCTACCTGGGCCGGACTTGCTTCTACCGGCTTTAAATTGCAGCTGAGGCATTTTGCAGTAACCGGCGCCTCTGGGTTTGTCTGGAGAGGGCGCGGCCTGGCAATGCCACTCCTCTCTCAGTCTCTTTCATACAAAGGATCTCTCAGGAGGCCACTGCAGGGGACTTGGTTGGGGGGGGGTGGCATTGGAGTCTCACTTGCAGCATGAGCCCTGGATCCCAGGCCGCAGACACATCTAAGAGACACATCTTCCCACCAAACTCTAAGGAGGTCATCACAAACTCAGCCTGAGTTTGGCGCTCAGGAAGGATGCTTCACACCCCTCCTGGTGTGTGTCCCTAGCGCAGGCCGGGAACTCTGTTCCCAGAGAAATTGCCATCCAGGTCCAAGGAGAACACTGCCAGGGAATCCAGCAGCTTGAGTGGACAGTCGTAGCCATGGGTTACATTCATCGCCAGAAGTCTCTTTAGCGACTACACCCTGCGGATCAGATCTCCAAGGTGGTGGGCAGAGCAGGACAAACTTCCCCCACAGAAGGTGGAAGGGCAGAAGAGTAACGGTCACCTGGCAGAGTGGGGGTGGGGGAAGCAGGCGCATGGAGGCAGTCAGCCAGCAGCGTTTCACGCCTCTAATCTTCCAGGGGCACAGGCAGCTGGCGCGTTCAGAGATCTGGCAAACTGGGAGCAGGAAGGGCAGCCGTTCCTCATGAGGAGCAGAATTCGTAGCCCCTGCGTCAGGCCCTCTTGTCTAGTCTGCCCAGAAACCTAGAGGTCTTCTGCTTGCAGGACCGGGAACCCAGAGACCCAGTGAGGGTCAGTTCCAGAGAGAATCGTCTGTCCTGGCCTGCAGCGGCCCCCCTGGTCCCCGAGCCAAGCTGGAATTGGTTAGGCTGCCAGCTCCAGCACGGAGACCACACAGGCACCGCCAGAGGGCAAGACTGACCACCGCGCTGAGACTTTATTGTGTGAGTTATGGCGACCAATTGGGCGGCTCTGCGGAACGCAATCGGCCTCTTCCTCCGGCTTTAGGGCGGGGGAGGGGGTTGAGGTAGGCTGGGGGGGGGGGGGTGGGGCGGGGGGGGTGGGGAAGCCCGGAGCTCCTCTGGGTGCTGTTGCAGTTTCCTTGGGAGTTCAGGCTTAGAGAGACTCTACTCCCCGACCATCCTAGGGAGGTGGGACAGGCTAAAACTGCAACCCCAGTTCCTAGAGACTTTGGGCAACTCAGGCCTTGGCCCCAGATAGCTCTCTTTTTGGGAAACTGGCCCTATTTTCCAGAAGCTGCGGCCTTCTCAGGCCTGAAATCTCCATTTAGGAGATCCCTGTGGTGCCTGCGCCTCGGGTCTCCACGCACGGCGTTTCCCTGTATTTCCAAGCCTCCAGGTGTCTTTGGACTCATCCGGAAGTCTGTTTGCTCCTCAGGACTAAACGCAAAAAAGGCTCTAAGTGCGAAGCAGAAAAAGACTGGAACAGCTAAATTTCCCCCACTGCGCCTTGCCCAGCCTCCCCACCTCATCCCCAAGGTTTATGACTTTGGAAGTCTGGCAGGCGAAGTCTTAAGCCCGGAGCTGGAGGATTGGAGGGAGGTGGGGGGCGGGAACGAGTCTCGGCGGGTGAGGGAGCGCGGCAAGCAGCGCTTGGTGGAGAGGTGAAAGCGAGCTTGCCAATGCCGCCGACTGCCCAGGAGATGGCGAGCGCGCTCCACGCCTGGCGCGACGCCGCAGCACGGTCAAGATCAACAGTGAAGGGCGCTGCGGCGGCCTGGGGTTGCCTGCCTGCGCGGTCATGGCCCGCTGCCAAGCGCGGCCGACAGCCTCGCGAAGCCGGAGATGGGCCGCGAGGCTGCCCAGGACAGTGGAGCCCAGGGACCAAGCGGGTCGCTCGCGGCGTTGCGGCAGCCTCTTTGTCTGGGCTCAATGCTCTCTTGGCCTCTTGAATCTAGCAGGGACGCGCGGGCCTCGGTCCCCACCCGCAGCGCTGAAAATCTATCTGCCAGGTTTCTGTGCAGCTTTCCCAGCGGTTTCTCGGTCTCTAACCAAAAGAAAGGCTTCTCCCCAAACTTTCTTTGCCTAGCCGGCTTCCAGGGGGCCTCCCTCCAGCGCCCAGGCCACTTTCCCCATCTTCTCCGGCACTCTGCAATTCGAGATATGAAAAGAACACGTATAAATAACAGAGCCTTCATCTGTTATTGATTTAGCCGTCAATCCAGATTCCACCAGAGAGTATTTGAGCTCAGTTTTAATCTTCAGCTAACCTCCCATTTTCTTAGGCGGAGGGAAATTGACGTGCAAAGCACAGATGAAAGGAAAACCTCGGCGCAGACCCTTCCAGCCCGCGATGGGAAACCTGAGAAAATGAACCGGGAAATGGAGAGCAGCATGGGAGTCTGGAAATCACAAAAAAGAAATGAGGGGCAGGGGCGGATGGCGAGTGGAAGGAAAATAGGCTCGTTTTTGAAGAAAACGCAACCTGTGAGAAAAACACTGAACAGTTTAGCGACCCTTCCCAAAGTGTAAAGTCGGGGACAATGTGGTTCCATTTTCAAGAGTTTTTCTTCTGCAGGGATTTAATATCTGTTCTATCTCTGCGCCTCTGTCTGGCCCTGACTTTCACTAAACGAATTTGGCTCTCTGCCGTCGGCAGTAATGTATGAAAGAAATCAAGCTGGGCCAGAGAAAACGAAAGTACTTTCAGAATGGTTGGTCCCTGTGATTTCTCCCAGAATCCTAGGGTCCCTCCTGCAAGAATTTACATAGTGTGTGTGTGTGTGTGTGTGTGTGTGTGTGTGTGTGTGTTTTAATCTGTGTTTTGGAACTAACTTACATAACAAGTTGGCAACCATTAATTTACCAGGAGCTCACAACCAGAGTACCCAGGTTCCTCAGAGGCCCTTTCTGAGTGGCAAAAAAGGCCTCAAAGAGAAAGTTCTTAGTGTCGAAAAACTGTGTGTAGCAGTGAGGATATTTGTGTTTCCAGTTGTCAGTTGCTGTGTGCACATTGTCCAGAGAAGAAGAAAGGACATAAGGCTGAAATGTTTCTTTTTCGATTGCCAAATATGGATATGGCTAATTCAAGACCTTTCTGCAAGAAGATATTTATAACGGGCCTTTCTAGGTTGAAAACTTCCAAAGGAGTGAGTTTTCCTATACCTGCACACACCAATACTTACCTATTTTTAAAATAAGTAAAACTTTTAAAATAAATTGGGTATATCGAAAGAGAAATGACATTTTATTGGAAATGTTTTTGAACTAGTGTGGTTTAAAAAAAAAAAACTATTTAGACATGGTGATGCCCTCTTAAAAACACCACTTCTGTGAAAGGAGTGGGGACCAGACTCGGAGAGCCAAGCGCCAAGGTTTCAGAGGTCAGAGCTGGTGCTAAGTTTCCTGCATTTACAGAGAACATCATAGTGTTCAGGATAGCAAACTTTTCATAATAAATAAGAACGGTTTCTAGAGGCAACACAAGCTTGAAACAAAGAGAACACATATTATAAAGATTCAGAGGATACAAGAGAGTTGTTTATTTGGCTCTCCCTAGGAGTAAAAAGTGATTTTTAAATGTCTGAAGCACTTTTCCTGTATACCAGCTCACAGACATTGCCTCTACAAAAATAATCTCTCAGTTGTATAAATATGCAGCACTTTAAAAGTAGTTCTTTAGCAATCACTTTCAGATATGTCTCCTCCTCCTCCTCCTCTTCTTCTTCTTCGATCTTACAACTTCATATTTTTCAAATTTGTTAGGTGTTTTAGAGCCCTTTGAGAGGCCCAATGCATTCATTCAAATATTTAAATTCTTCATTGGGTTCTGAATAAAATTCCCACCCATGGCCACAACGGTTCAGCCTTTGCTGAGACTGAGGGCCTCAATCCTAGTCTCACACACTGGAGGCTGAAGAGTGCACTTATACCACCCATGGGTTACCATGCCAATTGCAATGACTTAAATATCTTTATCTGGATTCTGAGAAATGAAGGCATCCATGAAGATATATTATTTTCAAATTAAAGGTTATAAAAGCACAAATTACAAGGTGTGTTGCAAATATACAACTAAAACAGCAAGTGAGGGATCCAAAATTGGGAAGATTGTCTTCATTCTAACACAAACACTATTTAATAAGGTAGCTACTTTGAGAACCATCACAGAGCCTTCAGCTCCCTGGTTGACCCTGGAGCACAGACTGCCTAGAGTTGCTTCATTTGCCTCAGGGCAACTGCTGAGAGCTAATGATTCAATTACCCAATCACAGGATATGAATGACTGCAAATCGTTCTGCCCTAATGGATTACAAAGATAATCAATGCTGGAAACGGATATATAAAGTGATTTTTTTTTTAAAAGTAGAACTCTTAAATCAGAATGTCACTTCTGAAATTCACTTCGGGGGAGATTATTAAAAAATACTTCAAGTCCTTTATACTGGCCTGGAGGGAGAAACAGAACATTTAAAACATCATTAAAAAAATAAACCTAGACAAGAACAAAAACCAATAATCAACAAATAAGAAACAACTACAAAGTCAGGTTGGGCAGCCAAAGGTTTTAGAGACAGGTGAGAGTTAAGAAAGAAAAACAATTCACAAAATTTGCCATCTTCGGCAAGGGTGTGCGGGGGAGGAATTAAATACATATTCAAGTCTTTCCAAAGATTGGAGACAACTGAAAGCAATTAAACTGTGGTCAGCTTGGCCCACATCAGGAGACAGTATCTTTGAGTTTGGAGACGATTTTCTTATCCTTCACTCTTCGGTTCTGAAACCAAATGGTCACTTGTCTCTCAGATAGGTTCGTGGCAGCTGAAATCCGCCGCCGCTTGTCCTTGTTAATGAACTTGTTAATGGCATACTCATTCTCCAGTTCTTTGAGCTGCAGTTTGGTGTAAGGCACCCTTTTTTTCCTTCCTCGTCGGTAGACACACATGTCTGGCTGATTTAAAGCCACATCCCCTGGTACAAACAACAGCATGAGAAAAATTAGACTGGGATATTTGGAGCACCTAGCTGAGAACTCTGGCATATGGGTCTGCGTGCAAGCCAGTACTTGATAGGATTTAGAAAATTTAAAAAAAAAAAACAGGCTGTTTACACTTTATTGTTATTTACATGGTCATATTACTTACACATTATTAAAGAAAGACTATTTGCACTTCAAAACAAAGGCTAATTTGATGGATCATCATGGTTTCTTAAACAGGCATCTTAACAAGCCAGTGATTTTATGGCCTGAATATTGGGGACACTCGTAAGGATAGTTTCGGCAAATGCCAGTTGCTTATATTAACACACACACACACACACACACACACACACACACACAGAGTCAGATCTTTTGCCCATGCCTTGATTCCTGTATTCCTGTGTTTGGAATTTGTGGGCTCTAAGAAGCTTTAGTAGTACTCCAACTCTGTGATACCCCTTAGGAAACAGTCCTTTTCAGCAGAAAGGCCCTAGCAAAGGGCATCCAAAGGCCCTCAATTTAAGGAGAAAAACGCACCTGCACCCCGCAGGGGGAGCAAAGCCATGTAAGGACATTTATATGGCAGGCAGATTTTACAGATTTCACAAAAAACGGGACAAACTTATCCATTGAGTTAACCCTGACCAGGCGTGCAGCACAGCCACTTATTCCTAAATAGAGACCCATGCTCCTAGTGCTTTCTTTTTACCTTCTCTCGCTCCCTTTCCCTCCTGTTCTCCCTTTTTCTCCATTGCCCCTACCTGGGAAGGATGATTTCCAAAAGTGGGACCCTTGAGGCTGGTCCTTGGCACAGTACACCTGGCTATTCCACCCGTTGGCCAGCGTCCAGGACTGGTAGCCCTCCATGGAGATGTAGGCTTCGTGCCGAGGCTCCCCAGAGCTGAAGGTGGACACCATGTCGATGTACCCGGGCACGTGCTGGTAGGGGCTCGTGTAGCCCTGGTAGAAGGACACCTCTTTGGCTCGCGTGGGGACCTCATTGGTCGGAACACTGCCGCTCGCCAGGCCGGACACGTCCATGTACTTCTCCACGGGGAAGCCTCCCAGAGAGGTGTGCGGCGACGACTTGAGCGCATTCTGCTGCAGGCCCACGCCGTGAGACATGCGGCAGCTGTAGTAGCCGTTGCCGAAGTGGTAGCCGTAGCCCAATGCCGGCGCACCCGGAGGCGCTGCAGCAGTAGCCGCCGAAGGCGCCGGGCACTCTTTGGTGGGGGCCGCCTCGGGGCGCGCGGCCACCACGGCTGAAGAGGACGACGAGGCGGAGCCCGTGCGCTCGGAGGTCCCCGGGTACGCGAAGCTGGAGGCCGCTGCCGCCGCCGCCGCCGCTGCTGCCGCCGCCGCCGCCGC